TCACTGATACTGAACCTATCGGTGTGCCTTGGCCAAGGGGGAAACAGCTGACTTCAAGACTTCAAGCACAGCGACTTCAGATTTTTCAAGGACTTCTAAAGATTTCATGAGACTTCAGAAGACTTCAAATAGACTTCACAAAAAATTCATTAGACTTCAAGAGACTTCAATACTTCATAAGACTTCAGGAGACTTCAATAGACTTCAAGACTGTAGAAGTGTGTAAGAAGCTTTAGGAACTCCGCGAACGAAGTTGTGTCAAATTATGGACATAGAATCTCAAAATTCTCTAATTAATTTTAGTAGGCTGAGATTTAGCACTCCTTCCTGACTATTTTTCAGAAGTTTATTTTATATTTTATCCTAATTCAATATATTATACCTGAGATACCTCTCAGCCATCAAAACAAAAATTTTCCGCCGTTTTATTAGAACTTCTTATAGGTTGATAGAGTTAAGTGTGTTAATTAGAAATATCACATTTGTTTTGAAAACTAGTCTGATAGAAAGAAAGTTCTGAAATACTTTCTGAAAGTCCTAAAACATAATTTTCGTCGTGAAAGTTCACTAAAATTTTATTTGGTTCGTTGAAAATAGTCTCATTCGATGCAAAAAAAATTTTCTCCATTAGAATCTGTAAGAACGATTTAGGTATTGACAACTTTTTCTATCGGTAAATACCGAATACCACCCCGATTGGATCATATTGCCTCAATCAGTGATTTTTTGCCTGTTAGAAGTTATCGTTTATACGAGTGCGCGATCGAAATTTTTTTTGTCGAGTACTTAATTTAACGTGTTCTTTCTGACCATCTGCTTACAACTTGAAACTTTATGTCTCGTGAAGTATTTTTTTGCTCACTATTCTTGAAACCCAATGTGTGTCATTTTTGACTGATATTCGACGACAATATTAATTCTCATTTGTCTTCAAACAAATATTAAATTTGAAATCAGTGTAAAAAACTTAGTCGATCTATGTGTATTTGAAGTTTTTTCTGCAGCTTTTTAGGGCAAATTTTTGCTCTCTAGTCCCTCTTAGGAACAGATGAAAAAATTAATTTACTCAAAAAACTAGGTTGGTGATGCAAAAGAAGCTTTAAACTTATTAAATCTCGTTTGACGACAAAAAGACCCTTGAATAACCAATAAAATAGTTGTTTTGATTATGGTTCTGTTTATATATCCCGGAGGGTGATTAGAGAGTAAAAAATTGACCCAGAAAAGGCAGCAGAAAAAATTTTAAACACACACAGATCAATTAGGTTTTGTATGCGGATTTCGAAATACATAAGCAAACGGCTTGTTGGTTATTGACCGATAAAGCTAGCCGGTTATCGACTGATAGACTGTCACGAGTGATAGAAACAAACAAAAAGGATTGAAATCTTTTATAACATTGATATTCAATTAATGAAAATTTTTTTATAAAAATGAAAAGCTTCATTAAAAAGCATTGAATTGTTAATTATCATGTTTTCTAATATCAAACAAGCTTGAATTTTTTTCCAGCAAGTTGAAGAAACAATAAAAAGAACCACTTTTCTGCTAAAATAAGACCATCGAAGACAAGACAGTTTCATTAATTTCTTATGAGTTTTCATGCACTAAATGTATTTTAAAAGTTCAAAAAGAATTCATGAGACTTCACGAGACTTCATGAGACTTCATGAGACTTTATGAGACTTCAGAAGACTTTCAAGACTTCATGAGACTTCACGAGCGAAGTCTCTGCTGTTTCTCCCGTGGAAAACATGCTACCGACTTTCAATCGACCTCATAGTGTTTTTCGGCCATAAAATACCAACCTGTAGCCTATGATCATAGCGAAAATATTTAATATTTTAGCGCCGGATGCTTAACGGATCCAATCAAGATCCTACAAGTATTTGCTCTATATTCCTGGAGAAACGACTAAATCCTGAAAGAAGCTTGTAGCCACAGAATTACAAGATTCTGACAGGATCAGTCAGGATTCTCAGCAGTTTATGATTTTTTTAAACAGGTATTCATTCACGAAACAAGATGCATTTGTGACTATGAATGCGGGTTTATCTTATGTCA